ATTAATCTCAGATTATAGATGTTATATTAATCACCTGCATTAATCTCAGATTACAGATGTTATTATATTAACCTGGATTAATCTCAGATTATAGATGTTATATTAATCACCTGCATTAATCTCAGATTACAGATGTTATTATATTAACCTGGATTAATCTCAGATTATAGATGTTATATTAATTACCTGCATTAATCTCAGATTACAGATGTTATTATATTAACCTGGATTAATCTCAGATTATAGATGTTATATTAATTACCTGCATTAATCTCAGATTACAGATGTTATTATATTAACCTGGATTAATCTCAGATTACAGATGTTATATTAATCACTTGCATTAATCTCAGATTACAGATGTTATTATATTAACCTGGATTAATCTCAGATTACAGATGTTATATTAATCACTTGCATTAATCTCAGATTACAGATGTTATTATATTAACCTGGATTAATCTCAGATTACAGATGTTATATTAATCACTTGCATTAATCTCAGATTACAGATGTTATATTAATCACCTGCATTAATCTCAGATTACAGATGTTATATTAATCACCTGCATTAATCTCAGATTATAGATGTTATATTAACCACCTGCATTAATCTCAGATTATAGATGTTATWTTAAYCACCTGCATTAATCTCAGATTATAGATGTTATATTAACCACCTGCATTAATCTCAGATTATAGATGTTATATTAATTACCTGCATTAATCTCAGATTACGGTTTCCTCACACAAAGCAGCTGACAGAACCTCAGACCGGGTCGGTCCAGAACCTTCAGCTGTGTCTTTTATTTTGAAGGTGGAGCTGGAGAGGAAGCTGGAGTCCAGCACCAAGTCCAAACTTCACTACAAGCAGCAGTGGGGGCGGGCCCTGAAGGAGCTGGCCCGCTTCAAACAGGTACGGCCCGCTTCTGGTTCTGGTTCTTCTGTCCTCCATCCTCTTCATCATGTTGTTACAGCAGCACCTTCAGGTCCGATACAGTTACTGCAGAGGTGGGAGGAGCCTAAAAGCCTGATGTCATAACAGAACTATTCAGAACCACTAAGACCGGGTCTGGACCTGGACCCCAGAGGTTCTGTTGTGGTCCTGCTCACACACACTCATATTCATGTTTTTCTGTTCTGATCTTCAGTTTCTGATTTGGTTCTGTTGGGTTCTTCTCCTGCAGTGGGTTCTGCTGTTCTTAGTGGTCTGGTTCTGGTCTGGTTCTATGTATGGTCTCCTGTCAGCGCCTGGCCCGGCGAGCCCGGCAGCTCCAGCCGGATCATAAAAATTCTTGTGTGAGGAATGATGGACCCGACCCGAGAGCTGAGACCCAAACAGAACCCAGGTCTCACATCCAAAGTCCAAATACTGGGACCAGGAGCTGAAGTGGTTCTGACAGTAAAAACACTGGGTCAGAGATGAAAGGTCCGATCCAACCGGACCTTGTTCTGATCAGTCAGTGTCTTACCTGCAGCAGTTCTGATCAGTCAGTGTCTTACCTGCAGCAGTTCTGATCAGTCAGTGTCTTACCTGCAGCAGTTCTGATCAGTCAGTG